CTGTAATCCATCTGGGGGTGTCTAATGTTGGATGTTCACCCAGTGAGACTGATCCCCCACTACGAGTCTCCACGAATCCCAGATGATATTCAGATCAGCTCTGTCTCTCATCTCCCTTGACCTTGAATAAACCTGTAAACTCTGTTGCGATTTGGTCACTGCTAGTAAACACGCAATCAATTGAATGGGATTTTAATTTTTCGACCACAGATACGTTTGAATCATCATTATGCAGAGAGCCGTTTCTCTTCTGGGGATCACATCCTCTTTGAAATGTGTGTCAGCTGTGTTTGCTGTCTACTGGCCCAGATAGGCTTTTGTTGTGTCTACTGAAGAGGGTACTGCCCCACATTTTACCTGCTCTTTGTTTCCGGAGTGACTAATGCATTAATTAAAACAGGGAAGTTAATGGATGTGAACTGGCACGATGGGCGACTTCATCCCACAAGTGTCCTAGATACTAGGAATGGTGCTGATGTTTTTTTTTTTTTTTTTTTTTTTTAGAAACCTAAAAGTAGTGGTATAAATGTTTAATTTGATGGTGAAAAATCCCATCAATAATTTATTAGAAAGACTCATATAAAAACTAAAATAGATGTAGACTTCAGAACTAGTAATATGAGGTAGTTTTAGGATGGTTATCCTATTATTAGTATTTACAGTTCTCACTGCCTTCCATGATTCTTAACCTAACGAGGTTGCGTCAGGTCATCTGGACACATTCTACTTGTTGAAACGTTTAATCTTTTATACAAAAAACTTCTTCAGTTTGAGAAGCTGCAAAAAAAAAAACCAGTTTTATAAGCAGCACTTTCTCATACTTCTCATATCCATCACTGCACCCTGTACTCCTTGGTCAGTTGGTTATCATCATCATCATTATCTACACGTAGGCTCTCACACTGGTTCATTTTCATCTATAACACCCTCCTTGGTTTGCGACCTTCTTATCTCTCCTCCCACATGTCACGTCGTCAGTGCAGTTACAACATGCGCTCTCAGGCCATCATTACCTGCAGAGTTTCCTCAGTGTGGACTGAACTCGACAAAAAGGCCTTCTTCTATTCAGCTCCTGCAACCTGGAACACCTTGCAACAGGAACTGAACTTGTCCTCCTTGATTTCTTTAAGGGGTTTCAAACATTTGATAATGTCAATAGAAAAATCAAAGCAGATGTGTTCGTTTTTAGTATTTCACCTTGTTTAACAGCACCCTGATTCATTGTTTTGTACACTACTCTTGCTTTAACTTCATTGTTACTGTAGTTTATTGTTGTCATTGTCTACTGTTATTGTTGTCTGTACTCTGTGTGTTCTGTTTGGAACAGGTCCCTCATTGAGTTTCCATCGTTCAATGAGGCTAGCCATCATAAATAAAGGTTGAATGAAAGAGTATGCATATTTTGGGTATTTATAAAAGTGCTATACAAATAAAATACATTATTATTATCATTATCATTATCATTATTATTATTATTATTATTATAGCGGACAAACCAGTTTGTTGATGACAGCCAAAACTAGTTGTTCACATGCAAGAGGTGGACCATCAACCTGACAACTGATAGTTAGGGCTCTGATGGGCACTTGCTATTCACAGAGGGCTGAGTGATACTAGCAATAACATCATTAGAACTGCATTATTTTGAGCAGCAAGCGCCCATCAGGGCACTAACATTAGAGCCCTGGCCGTTAGGCTGATGGTCCAACCTTTGCATGTGAACAACTAGTTCTGGCTGCCACCAGCAAACTGGATGATCCTCTATGAGAAGGTGCTGATTACAAAACTGTTCGTTGCAGATCCTCAGGCAGAAGAGGCGTTTGGATAACAAAACACAATATTTAAAAAAAAGAATAATCCATCCAGAGGACCTGAAAAACTTGTTAGATGTATCTACCTGGATTATTAAGCATGCATCTGGAAATTATTTAGTATAATTCTTATATATATTTTCAAATTAGCAATAGATTTCCAGACGTTTAAGTAGAAAGGCATCACCCCAGCCGGTCAAAGCAGATGGCTTCTCATCCTGAGCCTGGTTCTGATGGAGGTTTCTTCCTGTTAAAATGGAGTTTTTCCTTTCCACTCTCTCCTTTGTGCTCGTTCGGGAAGGGTGACTGCAACAAAGTGAAGATCCAATACAATCTGCTGGCTTTATAACTTTTACTAATTGGCTCTTTTATGTATGTGAATGTTTCTGTTCAGTGCCCTGAGGTGTCTTCTGTTGTGACTTGGCGCTATACAATAACCTTTTTAAAACTTAGATTCAGGCATTATGAGAAGAATTCACATGATGCAAGTATGAATTATTTTCATAATAGTTTTTTTTATTCACAAAAAATACATAGAGGGGTACATTCATTCACAGAAACATACCATGTATGGCTATATGTTATGGTCAAATAGGTAGTCCTACATGATACACATGCATTAAAGAGATGCTGTATTGAAAGTACACTCAGCACAATGCATGTCAGAGCATGTACTGTATGTCTCCTGAACTGTATGCTCTACGTTGCACAACATACTTATATCAGAATAGAATTTGTGAAGTTTTGATAGACTCTTTTAATGCACAACAATTTTTTGTCCAGTTTTAAGAAGTTCTGGTTAATATTGTAAATCATAATAAGTCCACTTTCGTTATTAAATAATAATTAAACTAACTAAGTACACTAATCCTGTTGACTTAAACATACTCCTTTATAGGTCTTGAAGATCAATTAAAAGAGAAAAAGAATTACACTAAGAAACCAAATCTGTACAATAGTTGTTTTTTTTTTTGTTTGTTTTTTTTTACGTCACTGGTTAATGTGTCTAAATTTGAAAAGAGTAAGCACTTCACCATGCTTGTTTGCAAACAAAGACAACCAAAGTGACAAAAAATAAATAAAAAGAACAATACCAACGTTCATGGAATAGTCTTTTGGGATAGAGAAGTATGTTAAATGCATATAAATATGCTCACATTTGTTGATAAAGTATGCAAATAAAAAACATACTATGGAGACATTGAGCACATACAAGCATTCCAAAATTGCTTTATATATATATATATATATATATATATATATATATATATATATATACATATAGAAATCTATTTCATACATCATTTGATATAGTTCAGGATAACATTTTATGTTTTGAGTTTACATTTTATTATGTGTACCTTTAAATAAAGTCTAATCCAACTATTGGTGCAATCAACAGTGGTTTGATATTTTGCAAAAAACTATATCACACAATACAAAATTAATTTAGTTACAACACACATAAGTCTGAAATGTTTATGTAAATGAATTTGTGTTTTTTCGCACAACTTCATTTAATGGGTGGTCATTAAATTAGTTGGTTTTGTAAACATACAGTACCACAGTAGGTCTAGTCACTTGTAAACAATAGTGTGCAGCTCACGCAAGTGGTAAGATAAATAGTGGTAGGGCTTGACAAGAAAGTGTTAAGTTTTTAACATTTAACAGACCAGAATAATGCAAAGCACAAAATAAATCTGTATAGAAAAGAACAAAAAAATAGTCAATTGGCCTCTACTGTAAACATGCACACACTGCAGTGTAAGCGGAGTGCAGTCCATACAGTAAAACTGTTGGCAAATAGTTAGTGTTTGATTTTATTTTAATTTTAGGTTTTAATCCAATATATCCCAATCATTTGCTGTAATGAGATTTATTTTTCCTAATATCCTGATCTTTTGTTAGTAAAAGCAGCTTGCTTTGACCCCTAGCTGTCTATTGCAACATTTTGAACAAAATAAACTAAACAAACATCCATCCATTTATATGCTTATAAATGCATGCGCTGTGCACCTTGTATGTATCCATCAACACTGTCCATCCATTATCTTTACCTGTTTCATCCTTTTGGGTCACGATAGTCAGTGGTGCCCATGTCCAGCGGTCATTGTGCGAGGGACAAGGTAAACCCTGGACAGGTCTCCAGTCCATCACAGGGACACAGAGAGACAAACAACCATTCACACTGTCACTCACCTATGGACAATTTAGAGTTACCAATTAACCTATCTGTGGGAAGAAACCGGAGTCCCCGGAGAAAACACTTGCATGCATGGAGAGAGCATGAAAACTCCACCCAGAAAGTCCCCACGTCGGGATTTGATCTGGCGACCTTCATACCGAGAGGCAACAGCGCTACCAACTGCAACACCATGCCACAAAAAAAAAAAAAAAAAAAGACAAAGAACTACAGTGTCCATACACAATGGGGGGAAAAACAAGCAATTAGATGCTAAACAGTTTTAGGTTGTGGATGCTAATTTTTATTCAGTTTTATTTTTCTTCACAGCACCATCCGCCATGTTTGATCTGAGATGACTGCTCAGTAAAACCTTAACCAGCACGCACAGTACCGAGTGCACATAGAGCAACACAAGAGGGAAATAAGCATCAAAATGGAGACAGTGTTTTTTAAAAACAAACGCATGGTGCAGAGTGTAGGACTTTTTGACAAATTTTAGATCTTTCCCCAAAACCCTATTGTAATTTATTGCTGTAACAACACAATCACCAAGGAAACGTAAAAAAAAAAGTGCCATTTGTTTCTGCTCCTGACAGGAGGGCTTACTTTAAGCCTTCCCAAATTATTAGTTATTAATTACCATTATATAAAATGGTATAACCAAATATACACAGATTTTATATGCATTTAAAATATTATACGCTTTATCAAAGTGCTTTATATAATCATGGATGGTGATGCACAAACACAACATTTGTCCACCAGCTGTTCCATAATACCACAATAGGTGTACACTATTAACTTTATCTCTAAACTTTGGACCATTTATGTCATTGTTTACATGTGTTTTTAACTTTGTTGTTCTTCCATTAGCTACAAAATGCAGGTCTAACATTGAAACAATACATGACATGGTATATAGTGCAATAAATATAACTTCTACAATTTCTTTGCAGCTATCACTCAGTTATTTCCTCAATGTGCAGTGCAGTCTTCACAGACATGGGTCATTTACAGAGAGTGCATGCATGGAGCTGGTGTAAAGGGAACAGTCAAGCAGGTCATCCCATTCTTGCCGATTCACAGTATTACTTAGACGTCAAAGGGTTACCATTTGTTCTACAGTGTAGGTCCAGTTTCATGTCCACTTTGATGTGCAGTCAGACAGACCGCCGCTGGCCTTGTGCATGTGCCCTGTTGACTATATCCTGGTACATCTTGGACCTGAGGAACCGTGGGTACGAGTCTTTCTCCATGAGGCTGTAGATTTTTCCTTGGACCTCGTTGAGGCTGGTTGGAGACGGATCTGCCAGACTCGCTTTTGTCTTCTCCCTGGTACGGTAATCAATGTTTACCTGTCAGGTAAAAGACACATACGTTCAAGAAAAAGTCTCAAAATGCATATTTTTTTTCCTATTGTATAACCACAAATCTCACTTTTACAATAATATGAAATATCAGGTTATTTTCAAACAACCGTATCCAGACAAAAATAATAGTTACAAATTATATAAACTCTATAGAATCTGTACACACAAGTCCTGATTTTCAAAACAGCTCATGCAACAATACAACTATGATTTGATTCACACTTTATTCAATATCGTGAACTGTATTCCATATATGCACTCTGGGTTATGTAAGATAAAATGCAGCCCATTAATTTTACTTCTGAGACTGAAAGTAATAATTTTTTGAGGAATATTTATTCAAAAGGTATTTCAGCCTTTTTTCTTGTTTTATGACAAACACACTCCTAATATCCATCTCAAAGAAAAAGTGGGTTTATTTGAAATATGACTGAGGTTAACTTTTAACAATTCATTTTTCATTCATATTTTGACAACTTGATTGTTTTCAAGGTAAATATGTAACACCGATCATGGAAACACACCTCTCTTGGTGACTGAACTTCAATGAACTCCTTAAATATCTTGTTTGCTTTTGAAACGAGTTTTGTTGAGCTCTTGATTTTTTTGTAGTCCTCACAAGCCATCCAAAATTCAATATTCTCATCGCTGAACTCCGACTTGAGAAATGTTCGGAATGCAACCAGCCCATCTAGAAATGACAAAAATAAAACAAAAAACAAGAACAACACTGAATTTGATAGTGAATTATAATTATAGTGATCAGATTTAGTTATGTGTGCTGGTATAACAAAAAACAACATTTTGTGTTTGAAATGCAAACAAACACAAAATACACCCCTTTGAAATGTTGTTTTCTTCATCAATCAAGGTAAGTGACCAATTTTCTGTTGACATTAACAGAGGAAGAGCATGTTTTTCTACAAGCCTGTGTCATGTTGACATTTTATTTCTACCCCTTCATTTTCTGCTGTTTGCCTGACCAAACTGGCGAGAACAGGGAAAGCTGCCTCATTAATAATATAAACTCATGTTTACTGCAACACTATGCTTGCCAAAACGAACACTGAAAAACAATCACTACAGCTCAAGATATTTAAAAAAAAATGATATATCACAATGCATAATGTGGTACTTTATTTGAGTTGACAAATAAAATGCTCTTACATTTTGCCGTAATAATTTTATGCAATAAAAGAAGGACAATCACTCTTGTCAGTTGCATTATTTATTTTGAAGTGTTTAGTGTGAAGCAATTAAAGTGTTTTTAATTAATTATAATAATAATATGAATAATGGTAATCTGCATTTAAGGTATTTTCTATTGTAAAACAGAGAAGTGTCTTAGGAATAAAAACATACCGTTGAGATACAAACAAAGCAACTTTGTCCTTTGGACCATGCAATAATAATAAAACAAAAGATGATGTCATGGTTCACAGAGAGGGCCTGAGAATTCAGCCATGACACAGGAGTGTAAGTTATAATGAAATTAATTTATTAATTTAGTCATTAAAGTTGCTCAGAAAATCTTTTGTCACTCGAAACTCTGAGGGACGAGAGAACAGGTTGCTGACTTGGATTGCTTGGTGACTGAGAGGGCTTTAAATGCTTAATCCATTAACCTGCAACACTTTAACGCAGTCTGAGGTGCAGCTGCTTCACTGATGTCAGAGAAGGTGATGGGGTTTGGAAAAACGAAGACACAGCCTGGTCATGTGGTGTGGGCACTAGACTGGGGAGTCCAACAAATGCTCCTCCGATTCATGAGATGATGCAGAGGGCGACACAGACACAATCAATCCTTACACACAGATTCTTAATCCAGCATCCAGAAATGAGGTCAATAATCAGGCGGTGGTCATTCACAGAAAGGCAGATGAGGCAATATCAAAAGGGTTCAGGTGAAAATCAGTAGTCAAGAAGCAGATTGAGAGTCTGTGTCCAGAATTCAAATGGGCAGAAGTGTCCTTCAAGGGCAAGGCTAAAAAGGGAATTATCTATGGCCGTGAAACAAGGTTGACAACAAAAGCCCTAGAGAGCAGGGACAGGAGTGCTGGATTACTTCTGGCGCAGGGTGATCGATAATCTGGCAGTGTGACAGAGGCTGGAGAGTGCTTAACAGGTAAAACCCGGAGATGATTAGGCATGATAATGGTGAGCTGAATACGGCTGAAGCAGAACATAGGTAGGGCCTTACATAAATGTGAATCTTTAAAGGTGATTCAGATATTTTATGACATTTTTGCAGTTTGTCATTTAGCTTCTGATTTGGACAAATACTATCAGGAAGTTAAATCTACTGCCAGTGACAGACAAATCTCTAATCGTTAGTGCTTGATTAACAACTTGGTCAACTAAACAAGGTAAGACTGGATTTACATTACAAGTCAAGCATTTAGTGTATGGTCACATATTGCCTACTGCATTTAATGTCAGAGCTTTAAACAATATTCCATCTATCTTTTACCCGCTTCTTCCATTTTGGGTCACGGGGGTCGCCAGTGCCCATGTCCAGCATTCACTGTGCGAGGGGCGGGGGACACCCTGGACAGGTCTCCAGTCCATCACAGGGACACATAGAGAGAAACGAGATAAACACCCATTCACTCTCTCACTCACACCTAGAGACAATTTAGAGTTACCAATCAGCCTAACATGCATGTTTTTGGTCTGTGGGAGGAAACCGGAGTACCCGGAGAAAACCCAAGCATGCACGGAGAGAACATGCAAACTCCACCCAGAAAGGCCCCTGGACCAGGATTTGAACTGGCAAACTTCTTGCTGAGAGGCAGCAGCTCTACCTGTTGCTGCACCGTGCTGCCCCAAATGCAATTCCATTTTAACACCGCTCTCGCTTTGGCTTAATGTCATTCTGTTTTTCCAAATGTTGTTGTGTTTTTTTTTTTTTTTTCCAAATGTAATTTCATTTTTTGAAATGTAATTCAGTTTTTTTTTTCTTTTAAAATAAATGTTCATTTACACGTCAGGGCCACCATCGTTTGTGCATTAAGCAAACATGTGAGAGCGGGCAGGGTGGGCAAGTTGCTTCCCATGAAATCAGCTTTACACTCTGAAGGTTAAAAGCAAAACCCAGTCAGGTTTAATGCACTATTCATCCTTTTCAATCAAATTAAGGCTTGTGTGAATGCAATATTCCTCCAGGGGAACATTTAGTACTCTGCCCCTTTTGTCTTGTCATTACTTATGTAATGGTATATGCGTGTGTGCCTGTGTCTGTTCATGCACATAAAGTGGTGGCCCTCTGTAAAGCTTGCTCAGTTGAAACAAGGTGCACAGGTGTGCTGCTCTCTTTCTGCCCAGGGAAGACTCAGTTCTCGCCTCTAACACGCTTTATGCTTCCGTTGGGCCACAAATTACATTTTATGTGTTCAGTCCTGGTGTTATGTCATCACCTCAGTCTGAACACATCTGTGTGAGTGTCTCTGTCTTATTTGGAGTGTCTATTTATAATAAAGCTTCTCACTTGTTAATGTGTTGGTTTTGCAGCTTGTAGTGGTCACTAACAAACTGTCACGAACTGATGCTGTTTTAGGAAATCCAAAAGCAATGTTGGTTTTGTGATAGCCATTCCTTTTTATCAAGCGAACACCGTCAGCAGTGGACCCCATCAGATTCATTCACCCCAGGAAAGTTTGAGAAACCATGTTTGTCCTCTCTCTCCAGTCAATCATTTTTCATATAGCAACAGCTGATTGTCTCTATATACAACTTTATTATTTAATTTAAACCTATTTATTTTCTCACACACAAAAAAAGAATAAAATAAGCCAATATTAGGCATAAAATATGTAACAACAGTTTAATTAGTCTGTTAAAGAAACCTCAATTCTAAATGTATTAGGCCTAACAAGCAGTATTAATGTAAGCAGCCATAGTGCAGCTTCACTCATTGTTAATTTATTTGTTTTATTATTTGCACATGCTTAATATGTTGGTAAGTCATATATAAAATTATAGTTTTAGCATGCAGGTGGCCTGTTATATTATTTCATTTGGTTGAATCTCTCACCTTAAATGTGGTCCAAACTAAGTTATGCTCTCTAATCTGTCAGTTCAGCAGGTGAAAGTCAGCAAGGCTAGGTCATATAGCATTTTAGCCAGAAGGAAAAATAAATGAAATGAAACTGTACAGAAGGGCATTGGGGAACAGACTGGATCACTTTGTGTCCTGTCTGATATATTTGTGTGACCCTTTCAGTGGTAAGGAACCATCACAAGTAGAATTGGTTTCAAAGGGAGACAGTTGGACTTTGTGAAGCTAAAAGATAAATTGATGAAGACAGTTGCATTAGGTTCACCTTAAATTTATTTTGCTAACTGTAAGATGAAAAAAAAAAAAATCACTTACATTTGTGACCAAGAAGATTATCGAAAGACTCAGACCATCGAACAACCTCGTCTGTTGATAGTCTGAAGAAAGAAAGCCAATGGGAAGAGATCAGTTAGGATGTTTATCCACCACTGTGCTTCCATGTTTTTTCTCACAATACGTGGTACTGAATAAATTATTAAAGAACAGCTGAGTTCACTGGATGATTTAGCTTCTGCTCAATAATGTTTTTTTTTCCCCTTGCAAAGCTATGAATTACTCAAGGATCTTAGGGCATTAATAAGTGAATGACAAAATGAACGTGACCTTTACATCACTGCAAATAAGTGAAGCAAAATGCCGGCAAAAGCATTAGCAACATTTGACCTTTTCACCTTCTCTCTAACATGAACATGAAAACAGCATTTTGTTCATGCAGTCATGTTTACAAGACAGTGGTGACACCAGCTATGTTGTATGGTCTGGAGACAGAGACATGGACAAAAAGACAGGAGACAGAACTGGAAATAGAATAAATGAAGATGTTGAGGTTCTCCTTAAGTGACAAGGATGGATAAGATTAGGAATGAGATCATCAGAGGTACAGCACAGGTTGATAAAGTTAGAGAGACCAGACCCAGATGGTTTGAACATGTCCAGAGGACGGACAGTGGTTTGGACATGTCCAGAGGACGGACAGTGGTTATATTTGTAGAAGGATGTTAGAAATGCAGCTGCCAGGAAAAAGACAAAGAGGAGATATATGGATGCAGATAGAGAGGACATGGAGGTAGTTGGAGTGAGGACAGAGGACGCAGAGGACAGAGTGATTGATACATGCTCATACTATTAACATATGTTCACCAAACAAGGTTGATTTACATCGATTGGATCACTTATAACATATTCCTGAACCTATTCCAGTGCTTATTTTGAGGTTCTGCTCTATTAGATATTTTGACAAGTACTGTAGAAATAGCTCCTTATTGAAACAGCTTGATTTATTAATTTATTATATTCATCACCCTTATGGTTCATGACATAGTTAAAATCAAGCTGAATCAATTTTCTTATTATTTGAAATTAATTTAAAAACACATTTTGTCGATAATGAACACTATTATAACACTTTTATTTTCCTTGTGAATAACTATGTTTTAACTATGTAAGGCTCTCGACACTATTAGTTGAATCAAATGTTAAATAGTCTTGATATTTAGCTAAATGTAGATTTAAAAAAACAAACAAACAAAACACAAAAACACTGATTAGCTTAAATAATGTCAGCAAAGTACTAATATGATTATTCCACGAGTAAAGTTGTCAAGAAAATAAGATGAATATTATAAATTAATGATTATTTTTTATGACTCACTTGAGACACCTGGCTGTGGTCTCATGGGCAGGTGGTAGGAACTCAGAGAAATCGTTGTAGGAGTCAGATTTTTTGGACAGGCAGCCGAGTCTGGTCTTCATGGTGCAGAACCTGTTGGAAACACACATTAAAACACCTGGATACCATCTGACCACTTCTGTTTTCTGATGCATGACTAAATATTATAATGAAAAAAAAAAACGTCAATGTGTATATTTTTCAAATATTCATAAAAAAAAAAGCATCTGAAGTTGACCAGAGCGCTGTGCAGTTTATCCAAACATCAATATACAGTATTAAAATAAATAAGTTAAAAACGCAACAATGTGGTCCAATAACAATTCATGTTCTGCTTAAATCCATGGGCAAAGAGAAAATATTATTTTTTAGCAAATATTTGAATATAATAGTTTTAATAAAGGTCTGCACGGTGGGACAGTTGCTAGAGCTGCTGCCTCTCAGCGGGTTGCCCCGGTTCAAACCCCGGTCCAGGGGCCTTTCTGGGTGGAGTTTACATGTTCTCTCCGTGCATACGTGGGTTTTCTCCGGGTACTCCGGTTTCCTCCCACAGATCAAAAACATGCATGTTAGGCTGATTGGTAACTCTTAAAGTGTCTCTAGGTGTGAGTGAGAGAGTGAATGGTTGTTTGTCTCTTTGTGTCCCTGTGATGGACTGGAGACCTGTCCAAGGTGTCCCCCGACACTTGCACAGTAAAAGCAGGACATGGGCACCTGTGACCCCTGCCATCCAAAAAGGAAGAAGTGGGTAAAGATAATAGACTGATGGATGGATAGTTTTAATAAATTCTCCTCCTTCAAAGCAAAAACAAAACAAGCAAAAAATAAAATAAAATAAAATAAATAAAAGCCAGCAGGTAAAGTAAATATACAGGCAAAATTTATATTTTGTTACTGTTAGATTCTACAAATATCTTCAGTCACACCAGAAACGACCAACTTGATTAGAGAGAAGCCTTTTGTGCATATGATAAATAATTAAAACGACTGCCGTGTAAAACAAAGAGACACAAAATGAAGCATGAGGCAAACTTTGAACATACGTAAATGACATTTGGATGAACAACCTCCTTTTTTTATTACACCTAGATTGACTTCTTTGCCTGATATATACACAATAGTTACATAAGCTTAATATATTCTGTGTACTGACTATATCTATTAAAATATTTATATGTGATGAATATATTTATTCAATTATTGTATATTTATTAAGTATCCCTGTTGTTAGGAACTACTTGAAACGTTCTATTAGATTTAAATTTTCTTTTTTTTTTATTCTGATTTTTTTTTTTTTTTTTTTAAAGGAAGTTTCACTCATATATCTAAACACAGCGAATTAAACCGTCCTCTCTTGTCACAGTCTGTCCCGAGTCATTTGTATACTGTTCCTGTCATGTTCTGTTTGTCATGTTTTGCCTCTGGGACACATGGGTCATGCCAGATGGGGCATGGTTATAAAGATGCTCTATCAGAAGCAGTGCGCTTCTTTAGCACTGGATATGTTCTACTCTATTTATAAGAGCATTATAATCAGAATTTGGCATTTTGTGTACAGTTAATTACAATTAGATCTATTTATGTACAACCATTTTTACCTGTTTACTAAACATATACAATTGCAATTAAATAATGGGTGGGGGGATTAAAGTATATAACTTAAGCTTAGACAGAGAGAGACGTTCAGAATTACATGTGTATAATGTGCTGAGCCCATTTTGTGGTTAATTTCACATAACTGGCGAGTAAAATGTTGTTTTTTTCTTGGTCAGTGGTGCTCTAAAGCTGATTAGCTGCTGTACCTATCTTTGGGTTTTTAAATCAAAACAACTCTATTTGAGAGCAAGCGGGAACATTAGGGAAGTCAGACAAAAGACAGTTTGGTACATTATGTATAGAAGAAATTACCGTAAGACAAAAACAGCATAAAAAAAAAAAATATCAGGGAGTAGGTGGATAATGACAGAAGGATCAATTAAGAAACATCTTCACCTATCTTTCAATGGGAAATGAATAAAAGTGCAGTACATAGATCATATTGTATGATTAATTAAATAAATAAATAAATGCACATGCACAATAATAATAATAATAATAACAAAGGCACATTTGTGGATCATTATTAAATTGTTGAATACATCTAAATAATGATCTGAACATGTAAGAAACAATTAATGACCATAACAAGTAATTCAAATGCACTGTCCCAGTGATCCACATTTATCTGACCTCTTTACGCATTTCTGATGTCGACTTTCAATTTGTATTATTTTCAGCAAGCCGCCTTCATGCAAGCACTATGAGTATTTGTAGATATTTATGTACTTTTTACACGCAATTTTTTTTTTTTAGATAAAAAAATAAAACTGTGCAAAATGAAAACAATTACTGGTAAATGTATCTGAATAAAGCAAAACATACAATTTGAGCTCACCAATCAGTGAGCCTGCATGTGCATGAATACTATTTTACAAATGTTTTTTAAACACTTTAAAAAAAGTGTTTAGAAATGTATGAAAAACAAGTTTAAGAATATGTAAGAATAAAGATTCCTTAATAGTACAGATGTTCATCTTTAAAACATTCTTTATTATTATATCAAAGGATAAAAGGCTTGCTAACTGTTTTCCTTCCTTCCTTCCTTCCTTCCTTACTTACTTACTTACTTACTTACATAAAGCCATTTTTTCATCGACATGCCTGTACATCATTCCCATCTTTCTGATAAAATTAGGGCAGCAGAATAATGGAGGAATGGACTGATTTGATGCTTGGACATTAGATTCATAACAGTACATAATATTTATGTTTTATTACCAAGCTGAAAGCCATTTGCTTGAATTAATGGGCTTCAGGAATCTATTAAATTCCAAGACTTTTCAAAACTTCACTTTGTTTTCTCCCATTTACTCATGACAGGATGTTTTGACGCACTTGTGAGCTAGAAAAAGCAAAACAAACACAAAACAAGTGCATTTGTGTTTGAATTGGAATATTTAGATAATATGATTTTTCTTTTTCTTTTTTTTTTTTTTTTT